CCCTATCTCCTACTCTCCATCTCTCTCTCTCTCTCCCGTGTCCCTTATTGGATACCTCATGTCAAATCAACGTCGACAGCCAGACTAATGGAACGGAGACGCCACACACAACCTCCCCACGCTCTCCCATCCCAACCTTTAGTCCCGCCAACGTCTTCAGGCCAAATTTTTGGGGCTTCACGGGGCTTTAGGGGACTAGCAAGGCTGAATTTAGCTCGTAGCGGCGTTTCTGAATAGGTTAACGTACTAATGTTAGGCGAGGGCCTAAGTTTCAGAGTAAGCGAAGCCTAAGCCTAAGCCGTAGCCTAAGCCGTAGCCTAAGCCCACCTGTGACAAGACTTGAGTCAGATGAAGCCCTCCAGAAAAGTGGAGGGCTTCATCCTCTTCCCCCCCCTCCCTTTTCCTGAACCCCATATTCCCATGAGAGCAGTCTGATGACGACTAAACTCACCGGGAGGCACAGCCCTGGGCGCATTTTCGGCGAGTGATATGCTTATGTGGCGGGGGGGGGGGCTACGGCTCATTCCTATGGACGGCGGGAGAAGGCCCATTTTTGCACACCGGCCCCGGCTTTGTTCGGCCACGGCTAACTGCTATTCACCAAGGGTTGAGTACCCATTTTAGCCTGGAGCCGTTTAGCCCAGGTTACCGTAATCCTTGATAAAATTGTAAAAAAAAAATCGGTTTTCCCTTAGAAAATTTACATTTGGAATAAAGGGGGCTAGGAAACGCTAAAACGACCGCTTTCGACGACTCGTTTTGCAGCGCAAGACCAAATTACAGTAATACACTCGCGCACCCAAACAATTGCGCGTACATGTCGAGACCTAGGGAACCGATTGGGTCGATTATTCCGGTTTCTAGCCCCTTTAAAATCCCAAGCATCGACGCTAGCCTTACGACAAGTACACCAATAAATATTTTTAAACAACGGATTTTGCCGTATATCGTAGCTGCCGTGGCCTAGTAAACAGACTGGGTCGATGCAAGCGCTTTCTAGTCCCTTTAGAGAGCAAAGTCTCGACGCCCTGGTTCGCCAGGGTCTCGGCAGCTACGCGTAACGTGGCGTAACGTAACGTAACGTAACGTAACGTAACGTAACGTAACGACAGCAGCTTCTCAAAATACTATAAAAAGTTTGTCCGACTTTTTGAACAGCACGCGTAGCACACCACGATCGCTTCAAAATCGAAAAAATCCATCATACCTCCACCGTCCCTTTAATAACAGATTTTCCAAGCCTCTTCCTGGTTCTCCCGCCTTTCTCAGAAGCCGTAACATTTCCAAGTTGTGCCCAAAGTCAACTAGGTGGCAATTCGTGGCCGGGCCCCCTAGGGCCACAAGTGGATAATTGTCGGCACACAGCAACCGCTCCCGCCCCGTGCTGGAATGTTTTCCTTGCGGGACCCCTCCCCCCGGGCTCTGACTCGTCCGGTCAGGGGTCGAGAGGGCAATTACCCCCGGGGAGCGCCGGCTTTTTCTAGCGCTACCTGGACGTACTCCCGACAAGCGGGTGCTTTTCGACATGGCCAAGGACGTTTTGGGCCTTGTTTCAAGCCGGGAACAAGGGTACTTTTTAGCTTGTAGAAGCGCCAAAACGGCACAAAACGTCGACGTTTGGTGCGATTTTTACGGCGATTTAAAGGTATGGAAAAGACAAGGACATGAATTTAATTGCTTTTTCATAGCGTAATGGATTATGTAGATTTCACGCGTTGCGTGTCGCGGCGTCAAATCCGCGTCGTGTGACAAATTTGAACTCTATCCAGACCGTAACAAAAATCCATAGACCTGCCTTGCCAATGCCTTTCATTACAAGAGCAGGCTAGCAAAGAGCATTGTGGATTTTTGTCATCCGCAATTGCTCCCAGGGGACTCCCAAGAGTCTCTGCCAGTTACCCCCAATAACTTTTCTATTTCCATTAGCTGTCACCATCCCTTTAATCCCCAATGATCTTTGCTCGTTACTCGAAAAAACGACTATTTACTATCCCCTCAACCCCAAGAATCTCTGCAGCTATTTTCATTTGCTGTCACCATCCCTTTAATCCTCAAGAATCGCTGCTGGCTGCCCTGAATCAATAAATCGGCTTTCTAGACCTGTCACGATCCCTTTAATCCCCCAGGAATCCCTGCTCGTTATTTCCGTTTTAAGAAGCTATTTTGGCCTGTCATGCTCTCTTAATCCCCAGGAAGATCTGCCAATTTCTTCCCGGATATGGAAAATCAGTTCTTGTCATAGCCCCTTTGATCCCAAGCGCTCTCTGCTCGTCCATTTACCGAAACTCCAGTTGCGCGAGGTTTGCACGACCCTTCGAAAGGTGTTCCCCCTCGGTTATGACAGCTTCTGACCCCCTCGTCTGGATTTCCGGCCTTCCCCCTACCCCCCGGAAGTCCACTTCCAATGTTGGCCTCCGGGCGCTCTCCGGAAATTCGAACGCCCCGAATTTTGAGAGTCACAGGGGAGGGGCAACATTTTTGGCTTTAGAAAAATTGCGTCTAACGCTCGTCCTTGACCAAATTTCTAATGCAACTCTAGTCGCTTTTAATAGTTGAATTTTTCACCATTTTGACAATTTAATATCTACAGGTTTTTAATCGATTGATTTTGGTATACTTTTTCAAATTTTATGTAAATATCTCTAATCCATCAATTATCTAGCAGCTCGGTGGAACTACAAATTCCAGAAAAATGGTCTAAACCGACCGATGTGGCAGTCGGCGCCGTTTCTTTGGCTCGTGTTTCAGGTGGGTTTGTCGATGTGGTGGCGAAATGCCGACATGCAAAATACCGACAGGAAAAATGCCGACAGACGAAGTGGAAACGGACAATAAGCCGACAGTCAAAAAAAAACCGACGGCGATCGACATTGAAAATCGCGACATTCAAAAGCGGACAACAAGAATGCCGGCACCACGTTCTCCGTATGAATCGGCGTTTTCAGTGCCGTAGTTTCGGCTTGTCGGCATTTTAGCTGTCGGTGTTTTGGCAGGAATTTCATACTTACGCTGGCAACACGCTCCTTTAAACTGGATTATTATCCATTTTTTTTCAGGCCGTCCTATCTACCGTAGTCATCGACCACGACTACAATTTGTCTGTCGAGGAGGAGCATGATGTTCATCACCTGTAGGTCGTTTCAACTCGTTCAGTCCTACCATTAATCCAACCGGAAACCACCATCTTTGCCTCCTAAAACTTTAAAACTTTAGCGAAGACCCGACGAAGCGGAACTGCTCCCGAGACACCGACATCATCGACAAGTTGGTCAACGAGACGGGCTACAACAAGTTTCGAATTCCGAGTAAGTCATTCTGAGTTAGCTCCAGCGGTTTCTGAGCTTCCAGAAGATGACGGGATGACGGTGTCGGTGGAGATTTGGATCCAGGCGATATCCTCCATCGACGAGATGACCAACGACTTTGAGGTGGGCCGATTCGAGCAGCTGAAGCTCAAAATTTTCAGATGGACATCTACATCACGGAGACGTGGCACGACCCGTCGCTGCGGTTCGAGCACCTCAACCCGTGCAAGGGGAATTTGTCGTTGAATCATCAGGTATGGGACACGGGCGGTTAAAGGGGCATGTAAGGCATAGCTATGGATGGCGAGGAGTAGAAGGAGAGAGCGGGAAGAGAGGAGGAGAGAAGAAGCGTTGCGTGTCGCGGTCGCGGAAAAATCCATGGCCTGACATCCTTGGCCCTTTAATGATGAATTTCGCATCCGGGTATCTAGGTGCTCGACCGGTTGTGGACCCCGAATAGCTGTTTCATCAACAGCAAAGTGGCCCAGATTCACGACTCGCCCTTTCGGAGTATATTTCTGATGCTCTATCCGAATGGGACCGTCATGGTTAATTATGTAGGTTTAAAAGGGAGTTTTATTTTGAAGCTAGAGAGCGAGAGAGAGGGAGAGATAGAGAGCGAGAGAAAGAGAGAGACACAGCGAAGGGAGACAGAGGCAGAGGGGAGAGAGACAAGAGAGAGAGAGAAAGAGTGAGAGAGAGTGAGAGCGAAAAAGCGCGATCAACCCTCCTTTTAGCGCGTCCGCGTCAAAGGTCCATGCTACCTTGATCTAGCCGATTTCCCGATGGATATCCAGGAGTGCGGGTTGATCTATGAAAGGTATTTGCCACCCATATTAAACTATATAGCTCCTAGTTTCAATTATAACAATCAAGAAGTGAAGATGCGATGGACAACTGATGACGGGACAGCAGTCAGGACTTTGGCAGAAATTACACTCCCCGATTTTACCCTCGTCGGCATTCGAACGATGCAAAAAGAGGAGGTGAGTCTGGTTTTTCGGTTCTAAAGGGAAAGGCAAGGCAAGGCTATCATTCATGGCAATTTTGGAACCGAAATTGATGACCGCGACACGCAACGCATACACCGCGGGGCCTTAGAGACAGAGTTGAAATCCGCTAAGCAGGATAACGACGCAGACGTAGACGCGTTGCGTTCCGCGGTGCGACAAAATTTATTTGGAATCGATAGTCATGCCTTTCCGGTTCCTTTAAAAGGAAAAAATCTACAATTTTTGGTGGCTAATCGTACTTTGTAGCCGTACCCCGCGGGAATGTGGGACGAGCTGCATCTGACGCTAGTTTTTGAGCGCCGTTATATTTGGTATTTTATGCAGGCGTATCTTCCGACATATCTCACGATATTTATCAGGTGGGTAAGAAGGTAGCAGTCCAAATGTGCATAGCTAGAATTTCGTAGAAATCCATGACTTGAAGTAGGGTTTTCAGGCCACTCTCTTTCCCTATTTCGCTCTCTCTCTCTCGCTCTCTCTCTCGCATTCGCCCTCTAGCTCTCTCCCGCTCTAGCTCTCTCCCGCTCTCTCTCTCTCTCTCTCTCTCTCTCTCTCGCTCTATCTCTCTCTCTCGATCTCTTTCCCTCTCTCATACCCCCTATTTAGTTGGGTCTCCTTCTCGCTTGGCCCGAGAGCCATCCCTGCTCGTACGATGCTGGGCGTCAACGCCCTCCTGGCGATGATTTTCCAGTTCGGCAACATTATGCGGAATCTGCCGCGTGTCTCCTACGTCAAAGCAATTGGTAGATTACCCTGGAAATACGTGCAAAAATTTCATAGATGTCTGGATGTTGGTGTCAATGACGTTCATCTTCTGCTCGCTGTTAGAGCTGGCGATCATCGGCTACAAGGTGCGCGAGATGCCGCCGAAGCCGAAGAGCCCGAAGCGGAAAGAGGTGGGTAGTACGGGAGGTTTTGAATAGAGAGAGAGAGAGCGAGAGAGAGTGCAAGAGAGACAGATAGAAATCCTTCAATTTAGAGCGAAGCCTATGAAGCCTCACCAAAAGGGCTGTGCCTTTACGAAAAACGGTTCATGCTCCCGGCGGCTTGTAAGAGTGAGCCCAAGAAAGGTGGGTGATATGGAAAAGCCATTTTCTAGCCAACGGCAGGCTAGCAGAGACCACTGGAGTTCCAGGGCTTCTAGGTCCTAAAGAAAATAAACCCTAAATGACGTTAATGCAACGCGCCGCGACGTGCACGCAAAGCGTTTAGGCAAAAATTCAAACGTTTCAGACAGTAAATGGAAGCGGCGAACCGGTTCAAACTGGCCGCCCGAGCGCATTGACCAGATCAGCAGCATCATGTTTCCGCTATCGTTTTTGGCTTTTAACGTGGGTTTTTAACTCAATTTTCAATTAACTTCGATTTCGGAAGTTTCCGTATGCAAATTAGCCAAACGTACCAAAAAATACGGTAATTTCAAAACGTTCAGATTTTCTACTGGACCTACTACGGGAACTCGAAGAATAAGGAGAAGCCGACGTGAAGCGAGAGAGAAAGAGAGAGAGAGGGAGAGAGAGAGAGAGAGAGAGAGAGAGAGAGAGTGGCGAGAGAGAGAGACGCAATATGACTTCCTCTGGTGCAATACAACGACATATATAATTTTTGCATAATTTAACCTTACAAATAAAGTGACATTTATTGAGATACGCTGAAGGCTTTGAACTCGTACCGGAAGTGAGTGAGGCAGGGGACACCTGAAAGAACGACGGGGGTTTCCCGGACATCTATTGGGTCTTCTCGTCGTTGACCACCATGAATAGCTTCTGGATGAAGATTGTGGTCGATTCTAAAATTAGCATGAAGGTTTCTGGGGTTGAACTGCTCGAAGACGTCGCGAAATTCCAAAGAAAATTTCTAAAAGAAGTTTCTTAAGGACGTCTAATGTGTGGTTTTTTGTTTCAGTGCCATCGAGAATTGGAGGGTTTCTGGCCTGTGAACTGCTCGAAGATGTCGCTACATAAAAAACTCATCGAGACTTTTTAATCGTTAATTTTGTTATGTTATACTTCAAAAACTACGCTTTTTTGTCTGTTGAACCGCTTGAAGACGTCCAAATTCCTAAGACCCACAAATTCCGGTGAAATATTCAATTTTTAGTTTTTCTTATTAATAATATAATTATTTTTATTGAATTTTACTTCATTTCTACACCGCCGTTTTATTAAAGGATTCAAGGATTCTCGCCACCTACCCGTCATTTTCTGCACCCATCTCGGCTTGCCCTTCCACGCGATGAAGATGAAGTACACCGGGACGCCGGTCAGCATAATGCACAGGCCGATGGCTAAAGGGCGACCGGGTTACTGTAACCGCAAGGGGAAAATACCAGTATCGACGGGGGCTGCGAAGATTGGGATGAAGACGAGGGCCATGCAGCCGATGAAGAAGATGGCCGGCCAGATGAGGTTGACCTGATTTTATAGGGTCTGAGAAAGAGAGAGAGAGAGAGAGAGAGAGAGAGAGAGAGAGAGAGAGAGAGAGAGAGAGAGAGAGAGAGTGAGTGAGAAAGATCCTTCGCCCACCTTAATCGGCCGCGGCGCATCCGGCATCGTTTTCCTCAAATAAAACAGGGCGGCGATGGCCGCCCCGATGGCCAGCCAGTAGCTGATCTGAATGTAGTTGATCAGCGCGTAGACGTTCTTTGATAGAACCAGGTACATGATGGAGAGGAGGCCCTGAAAAATGGCCTGAGCGTTCTGGGGGAACTACCGTAAGCAGGACGGCTGCGATCGGGGTGCCGGTCTGTTTGTTGATCATCGTGAACACTTCGGGCATTTGGCCCTCACGCGCGCCAACATAGAAGAGTCTTAAAAGTGGATATCTCACTGTCTATCTCTGTCTCGCGCTTTCTCTCTCTCTCTGTCTCTCTCTTTCTCTCTCTTTGCTCTCTCTCCCTCACCTCGACGACGTCAAAATCAGCCCGTTCGACGACCCAATCGTCGAAAATGCCACAAAAATTGGCATCAAAAAAGCGAGCGGCCCGAAGAGTTTGTTGGCGAATAGCTAAAGTCCAGCTAAAAAATAAAAACTGCTAAAAACTGACGACAGCCACAGCGGGGCTCTCCAACATCTCGTCCGGCGAGATGGCCGTGTACAGGGCGACGTTCGTCAAAAAGTAGATGATCGTGCATGAGGAAATTGAGATGGCGATGGCTAGTGGGAGATCCCTTTCAAAACTCAGTTAAATGATTAGAATACCCACCTCTTCGGGTCCTTCATCTCTTCGACGATAAAATTCAGGAAATTCCAGCCCGAGTAGGCGAACAGCCCCGAGTAGAAGGCCAACGACATCGTGGTGAAGTCCTTGGAGGTGTTCTCGAACAGCGGGTTGAACGAGTCGTAGTATTGCGATTTTCCTAAAGATTTACTCACCTAGTTACTTATTTTTAAAGGCGTTGTGAAGTCAAAAAGCTTAAAGCTCACCTGTGCACAGCAGATACGCGCCGGTGACGATGATCATCGACAGGGCAAATACCTGAATTTTGAAGTTTTGTAGTTAGAACCTTTGAAATATCATTTGTTATGCGGTCTGAGATCAAAAAGCAAAAATTCTGCCGCGGGCGGGGGTCGAACCTGGCCTTGCCGGTGGGAGGCCAGCCCACTACCAATCGGCCAAGCGCGTAGCTAGTTAAAAATGTATGGTATCACCTTAGCGACAGTGAAAGTGTCCTGGACAAACGTGGCCGCCCGTACGGAGATGCAGTTGATGGCCGTCATGAGGACTGGAATGGAAGTTAGGGTCTAGAGTTACGAACATTAATATAGCTTGAAATACGGTGTAAATTCTTAAATACCTAATTACGGTATTAACAGTTAATTTTTGACTAAAAACTATTTTTCACTCGCCAATCAGACAGACGGCAAGCAGTTCAGGGGCCATTTCCGGTGGCGGGCAAGTCGGGAAGAACGGGCGGAGGATGTAGATGGCAAAAGTCAACGCCGTGATCGTCACCGTGCACGGCCTGCGCAATTTGTTGTAGCGTGGAATTATCACGGGTTAAAGGGTCCTTGAAGGCAAAAGTCAAATGCTCACCTGACGACGATGGCCTCGATCCAGAGGCGAAGGAAGGCGAGGAACGGCCCGAACGCCTCCATGATGTACGCGTAGTCACCGCCCGATTTCTGTAGAGGTCTGTACACTACTGTATTCACTACGCTTGCAAATACCAATTTTTACGCAATACATCGTCAACTGTGCACGGCCGTACTGACGTACTACACAAGACGTCGCATACAGAACGATACGGTACCCTTTACAGTGGCTATAGTACTCTTGCGTACTGATTACATCCCGTATCAACGCGGGTGCTCGATACCGTGGCAAGATACCGTACCTTGATCAAGGTCCCGAGTTCCGCGTAGCAGTACGCGCCGATGGCTGTGAACACGCCGGAGATGAGCCATACGAGAAGAGAGGCGCCCACCGAGCCCGCTTCTGAAATTGAGGTTCTTGTCCGTTTTTCTGAGAAATTACTGCTTGATGTTATTGTTCAAGCCCGAAGTAATGCTCATATCCATCTTTTATCTAGGCCTTATCCGCTAAACGCCTTGCGAGAGAGAGGCGAGGGAGAGAGAGAGTGAGATAGCGCGAGATAGAGAGCGAGAGAGACAGAGAGATAGATAGAGAGGGAGAGAGCGGGAGAGAGAGAGAGAGAGAGAGAGAGAGAGAGAGAGAGAGAGAGAGAGAGAGACAGACAAACAGGCAGAAAGAGCGAAAGAAATGAGAGCAAGATATCCAAGTAGTGCCAGAAAGAGAAACGGGGTCAGAAGCCAGTCATTTCCACACAGTCCATCCATCCCCCCTGATCGGTCCATTTCTGGTTCCATCCACCCCTCGGATATCCGGATCATCCTCCCCTACCCGCTGTCCCCCTCCCCTCCACTTCCACAATTCTCTTCGCTAGCCCACCCTCGCCTCCCAATTGCCAAAAAAGTCACTTTGCCGGTCACTTTTCGGGTTGCGCAATCCGGTCCTGGCGCTATAAAACCGGGTCGGCAGAGTTTCTAGGATTTTTGAGGGTGTGTACTGCTCCAGTTACGTACTTGAAAAAAATATATAGTTTATTTGCTATAAAATGCTCCGACTTTGGTCCGAATCAGCTTCAATTAAATTAAAACGTTCAAATAGGAAAAATATTCTCTAAGTCTCTCGCTCTATCTCGCTCTCGCTATCTCGCTCTCTCGCTCTTTCATTCAGTCTATTTCTCTCAAAACCAATTTTCAACATCTCTCTCGCTCCATTTCTCTCTTTCTCTTTCTCTCTCTCCATCTCTCTCGCTCCTTCTTCCTCTCTCTTGCGCGCTCTCTCTCTCACTCTCTCTCGCTCTCTTTATCTCTCTCTTTGTCTGTCTCTTGCTGTCTTTCTCTCTTTGTCTCTCTCTCTTTCTTTGTCTCACTCTCTCCCTCGTTCTCTCTCTCTCTCTCTCTCTCTCTCTCTCTCTCTCTCTCTCTCTCTCTCTCGCTCTCTCTCTCTTTCTGTCTCTCTCTTTGTCTCTCTTTGTCTCTCTCCCTTCCTCTCTCGCTCTCTCTCGCTCTCTCTCTCTCTATCTCTATCTCTATGTCGAACTTCTTGTCGTTTAGGGCCAATACAACATTATTGCCATCGCAAGTGCTGCTTCCAAAAACATGAATTTCTTAAGAATACCTTACTTCTATTTTTAGCTTCCGAGCCCCTAAGCCGCCCAAATCCAGACATCAACCCCAATTTCAAAATAATTTCTGGTTCCGTCTCTCCTGATCTTGTTTTTGAACTCTTCGTTTCGTGATCTTCCAACCAGCCATCGGCTAATAAAAACAACTTTTGCATCATCGCGTGCAGGGGGGTGCGGGGAATCCCCTTTTGGCATCCACGTGGTGGGCGGGGCGGGAATACGGTATAAAAGCCGAAATTTAGCTCTTCCGCCCTAACCGATGCGATGCCTTCATCTGCTAACGCCGTCTTTATTCTTATGCATGGCCGTGGGCCAGAACGACCTCGACACAATATTCGAGAAAACGGCCGACTGGTTCAAGGTTTGTGAAGCCTAAGCATAAGCCTATGTCTAAGCCTAAGCCGATGACTAAGCCTAAGCCCACGGCTAGGCCTAACCCTAATCCTAGACCTAAGCTTAAGCCTAAGCCTGAACCTAAACCTAAGCCTAACCTAAGTTAAGCCTACGCTTTGCCTGAGCGCAAATCTAAGCGGAAGCTAAGCCTAAGCGAAGCCTAATCCCAAGCCTAAACCTAAGCCTATGCCTAAGCCCAAGCCTAAGCCTAAAACTAAGCCCAAGCCTGAGCTGAAGCCGAGACCTAAGAGACTGTTTTGTTTCTCGCTTTTTTTTTTTCTTCTTTTTCTTTTCTTTTCTCCCTAAGAGACCTCTGTTTTAGACCTAAGCCTACTTAAGTTCAACTAAAGCCTAAAACATGATAGGCACTTACGGCAGTCTAGCAAGGATTTCTTGGGAATCCGTTACGCAATTCTTATATTCAATTTTTTCCAGGAATATCTACCGAAAAATCCGCCGACTCTCCCTCCCTTTATTTCGCCAAGCCAGCCACCATTTTCTCTCGGTAAGCCTGACGAAATAATTTGTGCTTAATTTCGGGCCTAAACAACGTTAAAATGGGCCAGAATACCAGGCTACCAAAGTTTAGGTATTTTTCGCAAACAGCGCGTCGAAAAATTGAGCCAAGTTCCAGAATAATTAAAAAAACCTCCTGCCAAAAAAACTTTTCAGGCTCAAACCTGCTCTTCCCCACCCCTTCTCCCCTTCGAAATGGCTTTGAGCTTGGCACGTTGCCAACGTTTCCAACACCCCCACCCCCGCAACCCATTCCAACGATGGACCCGCGGTGGATGATGAACTCTCTTAATGGATCCGCCCTGATGGCCCCCGTCAATTTCACCGTCGACCCGGAGGCCCTAATGACGGTGGTCAGTTATATTCAGCGATACCTTACGTTTCCGGGCCTCAATTGTACATTACATTCCAATAAAGCTACATTTATAGTGGTCCTAACTTTTCGTCTTAAATGTGAAACTTTTTAATCAGTTTTGGGGCTAGGAAAAACAGTCTAGGGATATTAGAAGCTATAGACGCTAAACTACAGGCTACAAACAAGGGACAAAAGACCACGAACTACACGATACAGACTACAGACTACAAAATCTTGTGGGGAAATAGCGGCTACAAACTACAAAATTATATTGCCAAGATACACACTAACCAGACGTTATCAAATGCAGAGATAAAAGCGAATATCCTGACTACAAACTACAAGCTACAACCCACCAAATTCCAGCCCGAGATCATCACCCATTGGGGGTACCCGGTGGAGGAGTATAATGTCGTCACCAGGGATGGATATATTTTGACGCTGCACCGGATACCGTATGGCAGAAAAGGTAGGCAAATATTAGCTTTTTCCTGAGCTTGTCCAGGTCCCTCGAGGAAGCCAAGACCTGTCGTCTTGCTTCAGCACGGACTGCTATGTACCAGCTCGATCTGGCTGCTGAATTTGCCGAGTCAGAGTGCAGGTGGGTGAGAGAGACTGTCACAGAGAGAGAAAGAAAGCGAGACAGAGAGAGAAAGAGAGCGAGAGAGAGCGAGCGAGAGCGCGAACGAGAGAGTGAGCGAGACCGAGAGAGTAAGAGCGAGAGAGTGAGAGATAGAGAGAGAATTAGCGAGAGAGTAAGAGCGAGAGAGAGAGTGAGCGTGCGAGTCAGGGAGAGAAAGGGAGAGTGAGAGTGAGAGCGAGCGAGAGAGAGAGAGCGGGAGAGAAAGAGAGATGACCTTAAGGCTTCGTCTTTGCCGACGCCGGATTTGACGTTTGGCTTGGAAATATGCGCGGGAATACCTACTCGAAAACGCACTATACCATGGACGCAAAAGAATCGAGATTCTGGAGGTAAGTAGCTTGCTGTCACAGTCCCTTTAAAGCTCGAATTTCCAGATTTTCTTGGGAGGAAATGGCGCGCTACGATTTGGATGCGATGGTAGACGGGGTGTTGAACGTTACACGACAGGAGCAGGTAGGGAGAGAGAGCGAGAGAGAGAAAGAGAGAGATCCTTAAAACACCTCCATCATCGAAAAATTTCAGCTATACTACGTTGGCCACAGCCAGGGCACCCTCACCATGTTCGCCAAGCTCGCCACCGACGCCGTGTTTGCCCGAAAAATCCGGAAATTCTTCGCGCTGGCGCCCGTGGCGAGGCTGGTCAATGTGAAGGGAACGTTCCACACCATCGGGGAGGCGTATCCCCAGTTAAAGGTATCCGCAAGCCAAGCGACCCGTTACCAAAAAACCTGTAGCTGTTCTACGAGATGATCGGGGACAACGAGTTCCTGCCGAACAACATGTTCACGCGGCTCTTGACGGACATGTTGTGCGACAAGAAGATGAAGAACCCGATGTGCGAGGATTTCATCTACCAGGTATGGTTCGGCAGCCGGCCGCAGCGCGTCCGTGACGCGTGGCGCGCGACGCCCTGACGCAATTTCCGCTAAAAGCGTTTTCGTTTCGTTTTCGCTCTTTGTAGCTCGAGCCCTCATTCAGGTTTCGGGCCCCGACTCGAACCAGCTGAACAAGACCCGCATCGGCATCTACCTGGCGCACAACCCGGCCGGCACGTCGTGGCGCAACCTGGTGCACTACGCACAGATGGTCAAGTACGGCCGGATGCGCCCCTACGATATGGGGGTGGAGAAGAGCAGGATGATCTACAATATGGTGGGTGTATGGTCGAGAGGCAGACTTGAAAGGGGTCGATTTTGTTGCCTTTTGGGTCCTTTAAAGGAACGTGCAAGGTAGGCACGACTGACGATTATGGTCTTGCGGCGCCTGTGAGAAGCTGCGTGTGCTGAGGGAGAGAGAGCGAAAAAGAGAGTGAGAGAGAGAGGGAGAGAGAGGGGGAAATAGAGAGAGAGAGAGAGAGAGAGAGAGAGAGTGAGAGAGAACGTGGGAGCGAGCGTGGGAGAGTAACAGAGAGATAACCAGGGAGAGAGAATGAGACAAAGCGAGAGAGAGATAGAGAGAGGGATACAGACAATGCTTCAGCCTCATCCACCCGAGTTCAAACTGTCGAACATTGACGTGCCGACGTACCTCTTCTACTCGGACTCGGATTGGCTGGCCACTACCGAGGGAGTGGAGGGCTTTATATTGCGTCAAATCGACGAAAAACACATTCGGTTGAAGAGGTAAGCAAGGTATGGGCTGATTGGAGAGATACTGGCAATTTAAGGAAGCTACAGGACTTCAACCACAATGATTTCCTGTGGGGGCAGAGGGCGAAAGAGGAGATATATGATGTAATTATTGATGCTGTAAAATATGACCATCGAAGGAGACGGCTGAAGGATGGGGTTCAGAGATATTTGAAAGGTAAGCGTTTCGTGCTCGTTCTCGTTCCTACTCCCGCAATCTATTTCTCTCTTGCGCGCTCTGTCTCTCGCTCTCTCTATCGCTCTCTCTATCTCTCACTCGTTCTCTCTATTTCTATCTCTTTTTCTCTCTCTCTCTTTCCCTCTCTCTCTCCCCCTCTCACTTCCTCTGTCACTCCCTCCATCTCTCTGTCTATCTCGCTCCCTTTCTCTCATTCTGTCGCCCTCCGTCTCTGTATTGCCGTCTCTCTCTCCCACTCTGTCTTCCTCTCTCTCACTCTGTCTCTCTCCCTCTCTCTCGCTCTCTCTCTCTCTCTCTCCCATAAACCATCATTTCTAGCAAAAGCCGGCCTCAACCACAACGAGACCCATGACTCTTTCCTGCAAAGCCTGCTCAGCTAAATCGCCCCAAGCCGCTCTCCCTCCGCCCCACTACGGTTGACGATGAATCTCACGATTTTTTGGATGTATATAAATCTGTATCTTGACAAAATATTTCTATAATACTCACGCTCCTGGACGCCGGTCGGCGACACGAAAATCCCGGAGCCGATGATGCAACCCACGATGATGCTTACCCCGTTGAAGAGGGTCATGCTCTTCTTGAGACCCTAAAATTGGAGGTTTTACAAAATTTTAGCGATTTTCGATTCTGAGGGGACGAGTGAGCGGGACACAGAGAGAGAGAGAGAGAGAGAGAGAGAGAGAAAGAGAGAAAGAGAGATAGAGAGAGAGCGCAAGAGCTAGAGAGACCTTACCCCAGCTTCTCCATCCCTATCGATTACTTCCGGATCGCCAACTTTTCTGTCGAGCGGCTCGAGCTCCCGCGCATTTTTCTTGCCCATCTGAACACGTAAAAATTCATACCGTATCACGTGAAATAGAATAGAACAGATTAGGTGAACAATACAGGGACCATTTTGAGAACCTGAGAAATTCGCTAGCGAGCCAGCTGGCACTTGTTCTTCATCTTTTTTTAATCCAGCTCTTTTGTTCTAGCAATTTGATCAAAATCGGCGGACTTGCAAAGATCCCTTAGAAACGATAAAATTCAAAATTTCATGACGTAACTGGAAAAGCTATGAGCCAAGTACGGAGGTATCTAATCATGAATTTAGAGGCAAGCACCTGAAAAACTGAGAGTTTGAGGTCTAATCTAATGTCTTCCGGGGCCAGCGTTATGGCAAAAAAAACGGCAGATGCCTGCCCGCGCGTACTTTGCGCCGACATTCCGGGTGCATTTCAGGGAAATTGGGGGTGCGATGAATCAGAGCCGGGTCCCCCGGGCCCCAGACCCATATCGATCCCACGATTTGCATCCCGGGTACAAGCCAGAGAATTGGAAATGAATTATTCAGCGACTAGACTTGTCGGTGAAGCTGTGATCGGGTATATCGATAGATGGGAAAAGGAATTGGGGAACAAAATTTGGAAATTAAAAAAATGGAAATCGAATTACGTAAGTATTCTTCCAAAATGGCGACATTACAAATTTTTTAAAGCTTCAGAATTGCGCATTTCAGAATTCCAACTTCCCCAAATCTTGGAACGTTGTAAATCAGTCGTGCAAAAGCTGATTGAAAGTCTATTAAAAGGCCGTTTGCGAGAGACCCGAACAAGGCTTGGCACAGTTTTTTTCGACCCCCATTTTTTGATGCCATCTGATAGAGCGTGGTCGAATTAGAGGAATCGCACTAAATTGAGATTTTTAAATTAGCATTTTCCTGGTTAAACAAGGCGTTAAAGTTGCCAACGTCGAAAATTTATCTCGACGACTACTTGACAGATTTGCCTGAAAATTTGTGACTAGGCCTAATTTGGGATGGGGATCATTTTTCTAATACATCGCGAAGCACGAAAATTAGCAGAACCTAGTTAAATTGCATACCCAAAACAGTTTTTGCCAAATTCAAATTAACGGCGAGTCGGCCGCCAGCTGGAATTAGGCTAGAAATATGCGCAAAATTTTTCTGCATCGATTGATGTATGATTTAGGTGGCGGCCAGGTCGCCGTTTTCTCACAGCGAGCTTTTTGTAGCTGAAAAATGGTCTGAAAATGCGACTAAAATGGAAAATTTTGCGATTTTCTATGTTTTGACCCACGGGATCACATTTAACGATCACGCCAAGCTAAACGCAAAAATTAGCAAAAAGAAATTCGACATTTGAAGGGATGCTTGTTTTGGGCGGGAATCGAACCTGGACCCTCCGCCTGGGAGCCCCGTGGCGCAATGAGTAGAGCGTCGGCCTGCAAATCCAGAGCCGCCGCCAGTTCAATCCCAGCTCCCTCTCAGAAGCCGAATTTCTTTTTGCTCTTTTTTGCAATCGACTTGGCATGATTTCTTGATGCGTTTTGACTACTCCGCTATGTAAATACCACAAAATTTTCCATTTCAGTCGGATTTTCAGACAATATTTCAGCTACAAAAAGCTCGCTGTGAGAAAACGGCGACCTGGCCGCCACTTAAATAATACATCAATCGATGCAGAATAATTTTGCGCATCTTTGTAGCCTAATTCCAGCTTGCGGCCGACTCGCCGTTAATTTGGATTTCGGCAAAAACTGTTTTGGGTATGCAATTTAACTAGGTTCTGCTAATTTTCGTGCTTTGCGGTGTATTAGAAAAATGATCCCCATCCCAAATTAGGCCTAATCACAAATTTTCAGGCAATTCTGTCAAGTAGTCGTCGAGATAAATTTTCGACGTTGGCAACTTTAACGCCTTGTTTAACCAGGAAAATGCTAATTTAAAAATCTCAATTTAGTGCGATTCCTCTAATTCGACCACGCTCTATCAGATGGCATCAAAAAATGGGGGTCGAAAAAAACTGTGCCAAGCTATAATGGGGACTGTTCGAGTGACTCGCGGACGGCCTTTTAATGCGCCATTACCGCAACATCGATCGCGCACCATTGATAACCATTTGTTTAAAATTCCCCTTGCTCGAAAGGTTTCGGTTATAAGTCCTATTAGTGCGCCGAAATCCGAAAATTTTATCGGTCGTCGATTGCTTTAGCACATAAACAAATAATTTGATTAAAAGCTACAAAACAACGCAAATTTTTTATAGAAGTTTATATCTAAAAAACCTACTTAAATCCATCAATATAGCAGATCTAAAAAATGCATCTATTTGGTTAGACACAGTAAATAAAATTTTATCAAGTATTTGAGAATGCGTTAAACCTTTCAAAATTGGAATATATGCGAAAATTTACGAATTAGCATGCCCGGGGTCCAATTGCAGACTTTGGGCGCCAGCCTTTCGGGCAGCCGTGCCCTTTGACTGGCAGGTGGGAGCCACCCCTGAACAGCCCCCTTCCCACCCCTCCTCCCATCCTCCGTTGTGGTCTAGTGGTTAGGATTTATGGCTCTCACCCATAAGGCCCGGGTTCGATTCCCGGCAACGGAAGAATCTTTTGCTTTTTGGCGTTGAGTTTTGGAAGATATTCGAGACTATGCAGAAGTTCGTTTTAAAGCGTCAGGATTTTTCTTTAGGCTTTTAAGACGCGATTTTCGCAAGTCTGAGCTGTTATCTATCAGGCAATTGAAAAATAAGCGTAAAAACGTTAAATTCAAGATTGAAACACGATAATTCGACTCGCAAATAACAATCTGTACAGTTGTACGGCGTACATGAGTGTTGTGGGGTGTTGTGGGAACTCAAAAAGCGACAGCCGCTTATTTATGGCTGGGGTCAATGGCGAGGGGAGAGCGGGTGGCGCGGCGAGGGGTCGAGCGGGGCAAAAAGAGGATGCTATCAAAACAGATCAATATCGCCGGTCATTCAGATTATTTTATACCGTCCGGTAGTAGAGAAAATCGGGCCAAAAAAGATACATTAGACGGAGGAATTAGTCGAAAATAGCTCGGGCTAAGCCTAGGATTGAACCTAACCTTAACCCGAGCCAAAGCCTCGTCCCAACCCAAGTCCAAGATTAAACGAAACCGAAACAAAGTCTAACCTAAGCTTAAACCAAGGCGAAATTCATAGACGCAGCCACCGCTTAAGCCTAAGCCAAAGCCAAAGGCAAGGCTGAAGCCTAAGCCTAAACTCCAGCCGAAGCCCAAGTCGAAGCTTCAGGGAAGTCAAACGACACCGAAGCCAGCCCCACGTAAGCCCAAGCCAGCTCAAACGGAACCAAAAGCCGCCCTATTATTGTTGCAGTGTGGCATACATGGATCGAGTGGCTTGACTGTAGCCCCGGACTGCACATCCGGCCGGGCAGCTATCTAAACAACATGACCCCTGCATGTCGGGTCACACTGGCAACCTGCCAACCGATCACGCTATGATATTTTGCCCTTGCTCCAGTACACTGGTTTTATTTAACACTTCAAATATATAGCCGAAACTTAATCAGGTCTCCCTTGAGCAACCTCTAAACTTTTCAGCGCATAATCAGCGGGAAATGCGTCGATTGACGGTTCTTTAGTCGATCGTTGCCATTGATGCGCCGATATATCAGGTTGGAACGAAAGTTCTGTCGCCGAGATTTTGGAGGGCTGGCTAAATTCGTAGATAACTCCATTCTGGACATGCGATATGTCATTGTGTAGCTCCCGGCCTCAACCGTTTCGGGTGGTGGGCCCTGGGCCGTCAAAATCAAGAACGGCCGAGATACAGGCCCAAGAAGATTTTTCAAAAATTACGAGAAAGTGTTTTTGCAAGTTATCTCTGCATAGAGACATTTGCATGCGATACCTTTAACGCCAATCGATAGCTCTCGAGGAGTAGATATCAGGGTTGGTCATTTGAATATCCGTATCCAGCATCGGTACCCATTTTCGGACATGCGGATATATATCCGTATCCGTGAACCTATGCTAATTTGGGCAGATACGGATACTTTGGTATCCGGATATGTATCCGTACCCGTATCCAAAATTAGCCTGACTTTCCCGGATACGGGTATGGATACGGATACTGATACGGATACTACCCGGTATCCGTTGCGGATACTTTGGATACTTCCGGTTTTTATGCAAATCACGATATTCAACTTGGTTTTGTATGGAAACGATCAGCATTAAAGCCTAGATTCACCATCACTACTCAGCCGCATCGAAAACGGGATAAAAAGGGGTGTATCCGCAATTCTAACAAATCCCCAATGTGCCAACGCTTTAAGATCCAAGTACATGACACTAAGGCAAGAACCCAGACGTCAGAACCACCTAAGAAAACTTGAAAAATACAGGAAATCTTCTTGTGTACAATTGTGCTGTCCAATCGGTGGATGTACCATCGTAACTGCATAGTGCTTGGATGTAGACTTAAACAAAATATCTCTTCGTAACGACTTCCATACAAAACACAACTGAATACCGTGATTTGCATAAAAACCGGAAGTATCCATAGTATCCGCAACGGATACCGGGTAGTATCCGCATCTGTATCCGTCTCCATACACGCATCCGGCAGAATTCATTCTACGGATATGGATACTATCCGTATCCATTGTGGATATTATCCGTATCCAAAGAACATATGCTAATGCGGCGGGTATGGATACATACCCGTATCCGGATATTATCCGGATAGGATCCGGATACCAAATGGACCAACCCTGGTAGATATCGATAGATGTTGAGATCATTAAAATTGGACACTGGATCGCCGAGATATGGCCTCTTGAAATTTGGCCCATTTCTTAGAACTTTTCTCGATTTCCCATACATTTTTTCGAAATCCGCTCCCCTAGTCCAAAAATAAAGCGGTAATTTTTGGTACCTGTCCGTCAAATTTTTGGAAATGTATGGGAAATCGAGAAAAGTTCTAAGAAATGGGCCAAATTTCAAGAGGCCATATCTCGGCGATCCAGTGTCCAATTTTAATGATC